ATAGTTATTTAATTATGCTCTATGGTTTTTTCGATTTTTACTTTTTTGTTTACTTAATTTTAGTGATGTACGGGAAACGAGGATTAGAGTTACGGGTCAGAAGAAAGTATTTTATATAGTAAAATTGTCCAACGAAAACTTTTTATTAGAGCACCAAAAGTGTTTCTTATGTAGAATTTCGAGAAATAAGCAATTTTCGACAAAACGAACAGCTCTTGATCGTATTACGTTGCTCCTGATCTTGAAATCTGATTCGTAGTTCAGTAAATCTGTGCTACAAACCTGGCACACATTCAAGAGGTGTGTATTCAACTGGTGATGATTTATTTGTTCCGGCAACAATTTTTATTAAATAAAGAAGGGGTTGGTGACCTCGCCATTTTTTATTTTTACGCGATTGTGTGAACAAGTATTGATCATTAGTTATACTATTATTTTGATTTTATTAGTGAAACTAGCTTCGCTAAAATTAATAATTTTTATTTGTTGAACCATAACCTACGAATTGAGGTTCTTCTGCATCTAAATTTGTTTACCTAAGTCTGCGATACAGTATTTTATACATGAATTAGCGAAAAAATCTTTATTAATAGAAAAAGAAAAGAGTAAAAGAAAAAAAGAGAAAAAAGAGAATAAAAGAAAAAAAAGAATAAAAGAAAAAAAGAGAAAAAAAAGAGAATAAAAGAAAAAAAGAGAAAAAAAAAGAGAGAAAAAAAAAGAAAGATAAAGAAAAGTAAAAAAAATCTAAAATATAACAGATAAAAATAATAATACATAGTGTAGAATTATAAACGTTATAGAGAATGAAGAATACATTAAATTATAAATAATCTATTTCTATTTTCTAATACAGTAATATGCGAATTTGTTCAGTTAATCGATCAGCGATCAACCTCTTAATATCTTGACACATTCTAGTATACAAGGTAACAATAATATCGCCTCCTGACTCATCAGCCGCATTATATGCCCCTTTTGCAATTTTTTGTTCCAAGACCCCAACAAGAATTCCAAAATCAAAATTTCCTCTTCGAACTACTGTTAAAAATGCATCAGCTTCTTCTCGACCTAAAATGATCAAAAATTAATAACATTAAATAATAAAAAGATTATAATAAGTAATTATACCTATACACATACCTATACACTTATAATACCATGCTTTACATTGAACCACGAATCTATACCCATCCATTTCCACAATAATATCTCGACCTCCATCACCACTCGCTCTAAAAAATAATTTAATAAGTATATATTTCATCGTCATACGTGGTTGTAATTTGTTATTTGTAGATAGTAACATGACATACTAAATTAGGATATGATCGTCACCTGTTTCAAACAGGTTTGGGGCACATAGATGCACACGTATCGAGTCTTACTTGGCTCTATAACTCATGATGCATACACTTACATAATTTATAGAATTCTTTTGCAAAATTTCTCTGCGTAAAAATACATGTCTCAACTTCTATCGTAGAAATTTTTGATATAAGAGTGCATGTTTTTGCTTCTGTCTAACCTTTCCAACATTTCGAGTTTCAAAGAAGAGATGAAAGAAAAAACATAGGGAAGTTTCAAGATCAGTGGACCCAGTGATATATTCGTGATCATCCCATCACATGATTAGCACTCTAAATTAAGGTTAGTTTTAGGGTTAGGTGATAGTATAGCTTAGGCCGATTTGTTAGTGCTAGTAAACAAATGACGTAATTGCGTGATTTCAGACCGGGGTAAAATCGCCACCCAAAAAAGTTTCGAACATCACGTGACAAATATAGAGCACCAAAAATTCATGTAATTTGAACAAAAAAATACAAACGAAAAAAAAAATTTATGAACTAACAAAATAATAACGATAAGCAATTTGTTTATTTCAAATAAACTCCAATAAACGCTTTCTATAACGAACTGAAGATTTTGTAAGAAAAAAAAGTTCGTTATATAAAATTATTAGGAAGGTTCATTATACCCAGAGTCGACTGTATTATGATTACGGTTTTTTAAATATTTGGAACATTCCATTGCCTTTTAAAATGGTTATAATCCTCCTCCAATGGCTCAAAGTTTTTATTAATACTATCGAGCCATTTGTTACGATTTGGATTCATTATGTTTTCTTCAACAATTTTTTTGCTGCGTTCTGGATTCAGAATTATAAAACTTAATTTGCTCAAATAATTAATCAGAGTATAGTCTTCCGGAAGAGGATTAAAAATACAATCTACAAGGTTTTCTGGTTCAATTGCATTTCTTGATTAGTTTTATTTCGATTTCATTCTTTTTTTTTCGTTTATTATTGGTGGAAATTTGGTTACGGCAATCGATGTAGATTTTGATGGGTTGTCGAGATTGCAACGATCGCTTTTCATTTTGAAGAACCGAAGAAAAAAATTCACTTACTAAATTAATTCATATTTTATAAATATTATTATAAATATTATTATTATCATGATCCTAATCATGATGAATTGACAATATCACATGATTTTCGAAACTTTTTTGGGTGGCGATTTTACCCGGTCGTGATTTCACATGATGTGATTAGGGATAGGCCGCTGCGCAGGCGGAATATTTCGGAAGGCCGGAATATGCCGGAAACCACCGAAATTTAGCAATTTTGCCCGCATTAGCCATAATGCAGGCCCGTGCAGGCTGCGCAGCCTGCGCAGTATTTTCAAAAAATCCTCGATTTGCCCATCCCTAGATGTGATGATCACTGGGTCCATTGATCTTGAAGTGTCCCAAAACATATAAAAGGGCAGTATCTCGAATTTGTTATTAGTGATATTTCTTATTTGCGTATTAACGCACTCAAACTTGTATAATTTTTAAAGCACTTTTACAATGTCGAATTTGAAAACCAAAATCGAAAATCTTCTTTTATCCGGACCTTTAGATGCAATTTGCGGTGCAAGCGTAGTTTATTTGGCGATGGATGGTAATAATGTAGGAAGTTATGAAGACGTCAGAAATTTGGCTAATTCTGCAGTAGATTCGGTATTGGAAAAAATAGTTGATAATGATCGAAAAGAACAAGTCTCAAAAGTTATGCCAGAGGTTAGTGTTATATTAAAGATTTTAGTATATATTGTTTTATGATGAAGATACAACAGATGAGTATGGAAGTCACTGCTGAAGGTTGGGGTGGTGACGACCTGGAAGAGCGATATCTTTGGGGACGCCTCGAGATGTCGAAGGTACTATCCTCCCTGGCTGTGCGTGGCTTTTTCCAAATGCTCATAGTCTAATTAATAACTGAAAAATGGTACCATATTGTGTGCACATAATATATTTCGCGCGAGTCTAACGTATTTCATCTGTTGTAGATGAGAATCGCTTACAAAAGCATCGTGGGTTTGAGACTAATAAAGGCATTGAATGTGGTAATATGTTATACAATTCTGGTAAAAACCAATTATTGATATTTTTCTGACATAAGTTAACTGTTTTATAGGATAAAGAGGCTACTCCAGATCAAACACAAGAAATAAAGAAATAAAAAAAAATTATAATACATTAAAATCAAAACTTAGTGTAGGCATTCAATAATTTGCATTTATTTTCGTTTATTGGAGCTTTTAAATAATTACATTTCATATAGATCCCCATGACTAAATCGGATGTATCTCTTTACGACGCTCTTAAGAAAAATTTGGAGAAATATATCGAACCCTCAAAGCTTTTGTGGAATGAACAATTGGCAAACACGATTGTAGGCGATGATTCGATCTTGGTGGAAAAATTAAATCCAAGGCAAAAACGCATTTTCATGGTAAATTTATATAATTCATAAAATATAAACTATACTTATAGACTGATACTTAGTATTCTTGTTACTATATATAATCAGGAGCCGTATGAAAACATGAAATGCACATTACCCGAGTCACTAGATTCTATATGTGATCGGTTTGTAAATGATTTTAATAGAAAGAATAATGCAAACGTATGCAGAAATATTAAGCATGATAAGACTTGGAAGGAGGATATACCTGCGTTGGAGAGAAGGACTAAGCGTATACTAGATGTTTTGTAAGTATTTTTTTATTGCATGATTTCTCAATGGTTAATTTCTAATTTTTCTTTTACCACTTAGAGGTGAAATCTGGAATAATCCAGCATTCGAAAATCGTACAGCTTGTAAAGAACCGAAGGGACCTATATTGCGGATGTGGTTATGCCTCTACTTCGGGCTAGTTTAGAGGACATGCCAGATGGAAATATTTGTTTGAGCTCGTAAGAGAAATTTTAAGTTTAAAAAAGAACCCCATTCTATAAAGATATTTTAAAATTAATTTATTACAGAGCAGACCGGCAGAGCTTGGCAAGCAAATTTCGAAGGAATCTTAGTGAGGTAAGTAAAGAACAGATGGGGAAAAAACCTAACGTCATGGCACTAGTGAAGTATGGAGGAAAAATCAATGAACTCGCATACACCGAATGCTCCCGTGTCATTTGTAACGACACAAAAAAGATGGATGACGAAATAAAGTTATGGCGAGAAGCACTAGACGGTATAAATTTTGTTAATTTAGCATGTCGTCCACTTAGCAATCAATTTGGAATAGCCGGGATTCAGGTCGCTGGAGAGGTTATTTATTTAAACGTTTTAGTAAACGATGCGGGAGGTCTTTCTCGTTATTTTCATATCGATCACGCGGAAATTCCACTAGTGCCGAAGTCCTCAAGGCGAGTAAAACCGCTTGTGCGCTTGTCATTAAATTGGAGGAATATTTTGATAGTAAATAAGAATTTGTTAATGCGAGCATTAGATCAAGCTAGCTCGAATCCTCCCCGAAATGTTCCTAGGAGTCCCACAGTTTCTTCACCGCGCAGAG